AAGCTGCTGTTCTAGGTTTTTGGCCTCAAATTTTCTGTTGCTCAGGATAGAGAGCTACTGCTTCTGTATCATCGGGCTGCAGCATAACAGGCAGGAGAGAGTTCATTATGCATTAGCAGAGCCATCTTTAAGGTAGACAAACACTCTGTGACTCTGCAGAACAAAAGGAAAGCAAGAAAGGGAATCGGCAAACATGTATTATTTGCTGATAATAATTGTTTCCAGTTGCAGCTGACAGCAGTGATTAATCACATTGTCTTAGTTTTTTGGGGGGGAATATTAGAAGTACTCTTCCCCGTCTCCCTTGAAAAGTTAGCTAATTCTACTCTCAAAACAGTGCTTAAGGTTTTGAAACGTGCATGTACCTTTTATTGAAATAGCATTTAACTATTCTACCCCTCTTTTCTAACTAGAAACAAAGATGCAAATAAACCTAGTTAAAAAGTGGGAGAAAAATGTACCACACCAGCCACATAAGTGATCCATAGCCTGCCGTGTGTATTAGTAGTTACATCATTTTTCATCTATAATTAAAAATAGATACATTACATTTAACGCAACCCGTATTTTATTTTTCTTGCACCAATGCTTAACTTCAGCTGCAGCTAAAAGAACTCTAGTCCAGTGGTGCTCTGCAAAACCTCTACTCTTTCCTAATTTAAATGCCTCCTGAAGATGCAGGTTTTCCACAACACCACAAGAAACTATTGCATCCTATTCTGACCTGTTTAATTTGCCTCGTGAATGAACTGCTCACCAGAAGGGAGGGAGGGGGATACCTAAACACATGAGTCAAGAGAAATCATTACCTTTAACTTTAAACAGTGCTGCAGCTGTCCCTACCACAGCTTAAATACATTAAGCCAACTTTTGTTTACATCACATTAAAGAGTGGCAGTGAGTTTTCCATCATGGGATATACTGCCAATGCGTACAAGACTTTAGGATCAGGGCTGTGACTGTACATCTCCTAAACAGATCTTCAGCCAAAGCGATTTGCAAATGTTTTTGTTCAGGTGGGCAGCTGAAGCACTGTTAAAAACTGAAATACTACCAGTTGTAATGGTATTTGTCAGCCTTGTTTTGAAAATTGTTTCTGTTGAGCCCCAATTCATCACCCCTCTCTTACACAAATTTCTCTCTTCCAATGTAGCATCTGGCCAAATCCTTGTTACTCCAGTTACTTGCTTGTCCCAGGTCTGTCCTCTCCACTGCTTTGCAGAGGCGGAAGAGGGCAGAGCAACACCTTCTCCACAGTTACACCTCCCCCTCTTTTCTCAAAGATCACTTTTCTACGGCGTTTAACCTGCACCTGGGGGAAAGCCCTTGGCTGGTTTTTAGCAGTTAACTGCAGTCAGCTTAACACTGTATGAAATGTAGTTTGCCCTTTCCTATGCTAGGCAGATTTAACTTGCTTTATCTTCAGAGCACATAAAAAAGGAGGAATGCCTTAATTTGAAATAACCTTTTTGTTGTAAACTGCAAGTGGGAGCAAGGCAAGCTTCCCATCCACGTTGTGTGGGTCAAAGTTGGTATCAAATAGCTATTATGAGATGAAAACTACCTGTGCCTGTTTCTAGTAGGATTTGAGGTTGAAATGAGTGTCTTGAGAGAGTTACCTTTGTGTATGAGCACAGATAACCTTCGTTTTAATCAAATAGACATAATAAACATGGTTTCTAACATGAAACGATCCTCAGGAGAGAGATGACCCAAAGCTTTCTGGATGCCTTTGTGTGCCATTAAACGCTAGCCGGGGAGACCCTTCTGCCTAGTACTTGATCTTTGGTTTCCCATTGGTTTTCCCCTCAGATTTTCTTTCTTTCACTGGAGTGTTTACCTTTGAAAGAAGAAGCTATGTGGGTTCCATTTGAAACTAAAAATAAAAAGGATGCCATAACTGCCATTTAAATGCAGTAATACAAGCTCTGCAATTGTAGAGATGCCTCTTGGAAGAGCTGTGTAATCCAGCCTGTTTTCTATGGAGAGCAAGAAGGTTTTTTGCTCTCTTATTCAACTTACTGTTGTGCTCCTAGATTTCCATTACCTTGTCTTTGCAGAACTCAGCAACTCTTAAATACTTTCTTTTTTCCCCATCATTCCCTCTTCCTTATTCTTTTTCCCTGTTCTCTTTTGCCTTTTCCTTTCCATAGTAGCAGGGAGGAAGAAATTTTGCCATGTGTGCCTGCTGTCCATCTCACCCTATTTCTCCCCGAGTTTGCTGGGCTGGCCTGGCACCTTGGCTCCACTTTGGGAGTGATGGCCACCCTCATCCTGTGTCTTGGTCCTTCCTCCCACAAATGAAGACTTCTGATGCATTTTGTCCTTGTTTCTCATTTATTGTCTTAGTTTTTGGGGGGGGAATATTAGAAGTACTCTTCCCCGTCTCCCTTGAAAAGTTAGGTAATTCTACTCTCAAAACAGTGCTTAAGGTTTTGAAACGTGCATGTACCTTTTATTGAAATAGCATTTAACTATTCTACCCCTCTTTTCTAACTAGAAACAAGCAAATAAACCTAGTTAAAAGGCGGGAGAAAAATGTACCACACCAGTCACATGAGTGATCCGTAGCCTGCCGTGTGTATTAGTAGTTACATCATTTTTCATCTATAATTAAAAATAGATACATTACATTTAACGCAACCCGTATTTTATTTTTCTTGCACCAATGCTTAACTTCAGCTGCAGCTAAAAGAACTCTAGTCCAGTGGTCCTCTGCAAAACCTCTACTCTTTCCTAATTTAAATGCCTCCTGAAGATGCAGGTTTTCCACAACACCACAAGAAACTATTGCATCCTATTCTGACCTGTTTAATTTGCCTCGTGAATGAACTGCTCACCAGAAGGGAGGGAGGGGGATACCTAAACACATGAGTCAAGAGAAATCATTACCTTTAACTTTAAACAGTGCTGCAGCTGTCCCTACCACAGCTTAAATACATTAAGCCAACTTTTGTTTACATCACATTAAAGAGTGGCAGTGAGTTTTCCATCATGGGATATACTGCCAATGCGTACAAGACTTTAGGATCAGGGCTGTGACTGTACATCTCCTAAACAGATCTTCAGCCAAAGCGATTTGCAAATGTTTTTGTTCAGGTGGGCAGCTGAAGCACTGTTAAAAACTGAAATACTACCAGTTGTAATGGTATTTGTCAGCCTTGTTTTGAAAATTGTTTCTGTTGAGCCCCAATTCATCACCCCTCTCTTACACAAATTTCTCTCTTCCAATGTAGCATCTGGCCAAATCCTTGTTACTCCAGTTACTTGCTTGTCCCAGGTCTGTCCTCTCCACTGCTTTGCAGAGGCGGAAGAGGGCAGAGCAACACCTTCTCCACAGTTACACCTCCCCCTCTTTTCTCAAAGATCACTTTTCTACGGCGTTTAACCTGCACCTGGGGGAAAGCCCTTGGCTGGTTTTTAGCAGTTAACTGCAGTCAGCTTAACACTGTATGAAATGTAGTTTGCCCTTTCCTATGCTAGGCAGATTTAACTTGCTTTATCTTCAGAGCACATAAAAAAGGAGGAATGCCTTAATTTGAAATAACCTTTTTGTTGTAAACTGCAAGTGGGAGCAAGGCAAGCTTCCCATCCACGTTGTGTGGGTCAAAGTTGGTATCAAATAGCTATTATGAGATGAAAACTACCTGTGCCTGTTTCTAGTAGGATTTGAGGTTGAAATGAGTGTCTTGAGAGAGTTACCTTTGTGTATGAGCACAGATAACCTTCGTTTTAATCAAATAGACATAATAAACATGGTTTCTAACATGAAACGATCCTCAGGAGAGAGATGACCCAAAGCTTTCTGGATGCCTTTGTGTGCCATTAAATGCTAGCCGGGGAGACCCTTCTGCCTAGTACTTGATCTTTGGTTTCCCATTGGTTTTCCCCTCAGATTTTCTTTCTTTCACTGGAGTGTTTACCTTTGAAAGAAGAAGCTATGTGGGTTCCATTTGAAACTAAAAATAAAAAGGATGCCATAACTGCCATTTAAATGCAGTAATACAAGCTCTGCAATTGTAGAGATGCCTCTTGGAAGAGCTGTGTAATCCAGCCTGTTTTCTATGGAGAGCAAGAAGGTTTTTTGCTCTCTTATTCAACTTACTGTTGTGCTCCTAGATTTCCATTACCTTGTCTTTGCAGAACTCAGCAACTCTTAAATACTTTCTTTTTTCCCCATCATTCCCTCTTCCTTATTCTTTTTCCCTGTTCTCTTTTGCCTTTTCCTTTCCATAGTAGCAGGGAGGAAGAAATTTTGCCATGTGTGCCTGCTGTCCATCTCACCCTATTTCTCCCCGAGTTTGCTGGGCTGGCCTGGCACCTTGGCTCCACTTTGGGAGTGATGGCCACCCTCATCCTGTGTCTTGGTCCTTCCTCCCACAAATGAAGACTTCTGATGCATTTTGTCCTTGTTTCTCATTTCCAGCAAAGGCAAAATAGTCCCATGAATTGAAAAATAAATGTTTTGCTCTGTTTTGCAGCTGTGTGTTTGGTCTCATCCCCCAGGCAAGAGCCTGGATGGCGAGGCTTGTGAGATGCCCCGTGTTAGCTAGCAACATTGCTCTCCAGTGTACAGAGGATGTGCGGTGTTTTCCTTATGCCCATCACCTCTGGGTGATGGTCTGAGGGGGTTACGTGTGCGCAGTGCTCCCTTGAGGGAGCTCATTAGCACCAAAATGAGAGAGCTGTGGTGTCAGCAGCAGTTCAGTGATGTTAGCATAGCCCTCCTCCTGGGCTTGTTTGCTCTGGTAAGAAGCTACCATACCGCAGTACCAGTTGAGGTCTTAGGTGGACTTCAGCAAAGTCCTCTGCCAAAATTAAAATTCAGCTCAGTTCCACCTCTCCAGACTGTGTATTTTAGCATTAAGGTGATTTTCAAGCAACAGGAACAAAATTAGACCGCAAATAAAAAATGGTCCAGAGGGTAAGTGTTTTACCTCATGTATTTGCATTTGTAGGCACATGTATTTATGAGTCCTCTTTTGGTTTATATTTTGTAGGACAAAGAAGGTCAGCCATTGCTACCGTATCGTTTACCGCCACCCGGAGAGGACTCTAACGCAGGAGGAGGTGCATCGCATCCATCAAGCTATTGAAGAATCAGCAGTTCGAGAACTTGGGGTTGAGGGCAGATTCTAACATAGCTGGTCCAAAGCCCTAATGACAGTTGCTTTTTCTTTTTTTTTGATTTTTCTCTTTTTACTCTTTTTGTCTTTTTGGGATGGGGAATACAGGTAAAGAAAGGGGGTTTGTGACTGAACCTAGCACGTAGAAAATGACTGATAAATGGGCAATGGTAAAACTACCAGATAATAAACATTACTACTGAGAAATCATTGACAAAGCGCTGGCGCTTTATTTTAAGAAATGGGGAAACAGCAGTAATGTAAGATTTCCCTCCTGTTACAATAAGAAATACACTGCCGGGTGGTTTTCTGTGTTGTTAATTGGTCCCTGGGTTCCATTAAACTGTAAATACTTGGCATTATTTCTGTGTTGACAGGATCTTCTGTCCGTATAACAAGTGAAGCAAATCAGAGACACAGATTAGCTCAGAGAAGAAAAACTACTTTATCCTTCCATCCCCCCTCTCATTTTTACGTAAGAAATGGCAGGTTTTGCTTCAAGAAGCCTTCCAAGAAGGTTTCTTGCGAAGTTTGGCTCTCTTGCTTTTAGAGCCCATGGGTATTCCTTTCACCTGCTTCAGAGAAGGCTGGCTCTGGGGTCAGTCCTTGTTCTCTTCAAATGCTGGGTGTTTGGTGAGTCTTTCCTGTTGGATCCCCCTGCTGCCACAGAGCTGAGCAGAGCTGCTTACTGAGGTGCTCTGAGCTGTGCCACCTTCCCTTGTCTCAGTTCTCCTCGCATAGGCACCAGCACAAGGTAAGTCTGTTCCCCTGTCGCTATCAAAGGATTGATACCACATGGGGCAGGATGGTAGAAAAGAGAAACTCTTCCTTACAATGCCCTGAAATGCAGCTGCCTTTATCTCTCACAGTATCTTACTTGCCAGCAGCAGTATCTGCTCAGAAATTTGACCTTTAAGGCAGGATACAAAACTAAAATGGGATCTCCTACTATTTCAGACACCAGTCGCTTTACAGGATGCTTGGCTTTTTCAATGCAGGTTATAATAAGTAAATTCTGGCAGAGGTATGATTCTAGGACCTGTAGAAGTGTTTGAATGGTCTGATAAATACTTGATGAGCTATTGCAGATGCTGATATGGAATATGGGACCTGTTTTTGCTTGTAATGGCATTTCATACAGTCTTGCAGGTCACATCTGGTTGCTGTGCAGGCAACATTCCTTCCTTCAGGGAAGAAGGCAGTAAAAGCGCTGCAATAAACAGCATCTAACACTGATTTATACCTTATCAAGAAACATCTGTGTAGCAGGCTTGTACTCAACCATAAGAAGCCAGTTACTATTGCAGATGTGACAGAAGCAGAGAGCTCATTTTAATTTCATTACTCAACATATTTAGCTGTGTAAACAAATCCTAATCTAAATCACTGTTGTGTTATCCAAATAACTTGATTATGAAAACAATATGCTAGGCTTTTTACAAGGTGAAAAGAATGGATGCCATTTAGGCAACAAAAAAACCTACTTGGTTATTTTTAAACCATGATGTCCTATGATCCATAAATACAACCGAGCCAATTTGATGTTTCTCTGTCTCCTTCATCCTTTTCCTTTTCAGGATTCTCAGTGAGGACCACTGAAGAGGAGGAGCACTGCCCTGAACTGCACTGAGCAGTGATTGTTCCTGATAGATGCTACCACACGGGGCAGCAAATTATGTGAATGTTAATTGATGGGATTGCATATGGTAAAAGTACTAAAACCTGCCTGCTGTATGAAAGTACTAAGTCTCTTGAGAAAACAGGAGACTATCTGGGCTGGAGTAGATTGCGAGATTCCCCTTTTAATTTATTGGTTAGTGAAGTTTCCATTTTCTGCTCCCCAAATCTTTCAGTTCTTCTCTCATTCTGAACATCCAGTTTTGGGGGCACAGAAATTTGGGGAAAGGAGGAGAAAATGGGACAATGAGCCTTCATCACTGCAGCCACAGACTGACATGTCCAGCTCTTCAAGGAAACTTGGATGTTCTTGAATCAGCTGGTCTCTAGCCACTAACATCAGTTGTATTTGACATGTCTGGCTCAGAGCTGTCTGCGCTCTGGTGAGGAGGGGCTCCCGGCAGCAGCCAGCTCTTGGTGGAGCAACATTATTCTTTGAAACACAAAAAATTAACCTCAGGGGCTAATAGCGTAAGGGGGAAATGCAAAGCTTTCCCTGAAGTTGACCTGACACCATGGGATCATCTTCTGAAGTAGGTGTTCTGATAGCGGCAACTTTCAACAAAAATGCAAATCATTAAGGTTTAAAAAAAAAAAAAGAAAAAAAGAGAACAGCTTCTTCGGGAGCAAGCATGGTTCAATTATGTGAAGGATTTTAAGACCTGTAAAATCAGATGGGCTGGCTGTGAGCATAATATGAATACTTGGGTATGTTTATATTAGGTAAGCCTTTGTCATATATATTCTAGGATTAATCTGCTCTAAAGACCTATTTTTCTGGCAAAGATTCACCACTACTAGCAAAGCAGACCTCAGATCAAAAGACATCAGAGTTGCATTTTTATGCTGCTGTCCTTTGGAAAATATGGCTTTCCCTTCAAAGCCTGACCTTAATTTTACTGGGGAAATTTGCTATGGGCAATAGTAGACTCTCAAACTATACGGTCCCTTGTGGATACCAGCAGAGACCACATGGGAATCTAAGGGCATAATAGATTTCTTTTACCACTGGTCAGAGACACATGATGGTAACAGCATCTCAGAGGCTGGGCTGATCCTTGGTGGGAGCATAGAATACCTGCCTGAGGAAGGCCCTTGGTACAATCACTGACCAACTGTGTCAAAGAAAAGGCTGCCCTCAGCCGTCACTTGGCTTTTCTTAAGACATATTTAGCACAAAGGTAAGTAAACCAGCTTGAAGACCAAGAACAACATAGCTGCCAAGGTAAGTTCACTTGCTCATCTCTCTGCTACCCTACTGTCTGTCTCATGTACATCTTTCAATCTTGGATGAGCTACAAGTCTAGTAAAGGTGGATGAGTTCCTAAATATCAAAGTGATGCTGTGCCATGTGGATATACAAAGGGGAGTGGCATTTGAGTAATTATTGTGCATGCTGACTGACTGGCATAGTAGCAGGCACAAGGCCCTGCTTCTTGTTTTTATCAACTGACTGTGTTTATTTTTGTGTGCCGCTGGGTTTTCTATCAGCATCCTTTAATAAAAGAGGAAAAAAAATCAATTGTAGCAAAAGAAGATACACATCCCCAGGAGAACTGACTGGGGATTTCTATGACTGAGCAGTGTGTACTGTTTTAATGTTCTGGGTGCTGGTTTTGTTCCTAGTTGCCATTGGTTTTCAAGCTAGCTGTGATTCCTGGAAGACTAAAGATTTTGCTTTAACACCCAGTTTGGGATCTTCCTAGTAAACTGGCAGCAGATTTACAGTGCACTGAGACTTACCTGGTTTTGATGTTCTCGTTAAAGGTGCTGCAATGGAAAAGTGTTGTGAGCTAGGTAAGCAGTAAATTGCTCTGTGTTTTTACCCTTCAGACTTCAGTGACCTCTGCCATAGTATTGCCAGGCAATATCAAACAGTTGTGCCAGTCTGAAGGCAGCTTTGTACTGAGAATCCAAATCAGATCAGTAAACCACTGGCGGTGGTCTTTTGCCTTCCATTGAGAGTGTTACTTTTCTCCCTTCTGCAGGTTGGTGGCCATAATTCAGTGCTGTACTCTGTGCAGCTGTACTGATTTTCAGAAGTATTGAAAAATTGATTAAGTCCTTGAATAATTTCCTGTAGGGGTTAGCTTTTTAATTTCAATGGGGGGAAAAAAAGTTGTGGGTTGTTTGACAGTTTTTATCTGCAGTGACTAATGCATTTCAGCTGTCCCAGGTAAAACTCTTGGCCGAGACAAGGCTCCTTGGTGGTCCATTGAAGTAAACATGGGGAGTCTAACCCCCAAAATCAGAATTATATCAATCTTATTGAGTTCATATTTCGGTAGAACTAAGCAACCTTGTCTTTGCAGTGGGTTGACTGAAGGTTGGCTGGTGCTCATTAGTTAAACCGAGGTCAGAAAGCACTCTGGATCTTGCCACCACCACCCCAAACACACACAGGAGTAGTTCTAAGCACAAGGAAGTTCTGTCAAATTCAGTGCAAGCATATAAAACAGTTGTACTGGGTATTTGAGGCCTGCTAGTTGATATCGCTGAATTATCTCCATCAGAATTGTTACCATCTGGAAGAGAAAATGGGTTTGTACTTCAGCTCTGAAACAAGTAGCCATATTTTTAAAGCTCAGAGCTCTGTTCAGATATTGTCTGCTGTGCTTCTTTGCTAAGAGGAGACTGTTCATGTAAAACAGATTTGCTTTCTGTGTAGACCAGGCCCTATTGACTAATTACACTTATCCTGATCGAATTTTAAGAGTTGTGACTATTGCCTTTAAGGGCCAGAACTGAAGCAATCTTGTGAGGACCTTGAAAAAATTTGTGGGACACATAAGGAACCAGCCACTGACACCTGTTACCTGCTTTTAAACATGACTGCAATTACATCCAAATTTTAAGCTGTGTCTCAGAGGAGATGGTTGCAGTTCAACACGGAGCATGGGCATATGCTGGGTGAAGGCATTGACTTCTCCAGAATCTGTTGTATAAGGTTTGATCATCATTAACATCTGATGCACTTGCATGTTTGGCAGTTCTTGTGCTTTTGTGCTTCTGTCAGATGGCCTCTGTTGTTCTATTTATGCCCACTGTTAACTAAGTGGAGTCTGCTTTAGTCTGCCTTTTATACTTGGAAAACTGTGTCTAAAATCACTACTGCCGTGAGCTAGCTTTCTCGTTTCGGTTTTGCTTGCCTTTCCTTACAGTTCTTGCTATTCAAGTTCAGTATAACTTTGGTGAAGAAACGGTGTCAGGCTGTAGGCAGGGAGATTTATTATACCACAGCCTAAAGCCCGTGCTCCCGCGACGCATTACTGCAGGGTCTCTCTGTGCTCACCCTCTGGATGCAGGTGATTAACACGCAGTCCAGGGAATTGTGCCTCTGCCTGCTCAGTAATTTGCTGGGCAGCGCCGCAGTCATCCAGAGCAGCTGCCACTTAAATGGGCAGTAGATTGTTCTCTTTTTATTTTAGTGTCTTGCAGCTCCACTTGTATCAGGGTGTGATACAGCCAGAAGCGCTGTGTTGGTATTTGCTGCAGCAAAGCATCAGTTAGATGCATCTCGTGATGTGGTG